CAGTGCTTTTCTATGGTGAAAGATCAGTTCCCTACTTTTTAAAAATTTCTGATTGGTTGTGGACCAATAATTTTATAAAACGTAATAAAAATATATTACTAGAAAAATAAAATAAGAAATCAAGACGTAAGTTTCTTGAATGGTGGTGCCTGGCATATACACGTGCTAAACATACGTTTAATGAACGAAGACACCATTTCCAGAAAAGTTGGTCCACAAATGAACATGGCTTCATTGGAAACTGCTCTGTGAATGTATCTGGCATGTTACTGGATATATCTGATGAGGGCAGTACCCTCAGACATCTCATAACCAATAACACTAAATATTTTATGAAGCTTCAGGACATATGACACTTGCTTCATTTAGAGAAAAACATAGCAAGGCAAATTAGCAGTATTAAAGGATTAAATAGCATGATTATTTTTCCTGTGATTTTTGCCTTCTGTCCTAAACCCTGACTATACCCAAACGCAGATCAGGAATGAACATGAAGGATGATGCAAAAGTCTAATAAATGCTTAAAGATGAACACCAGACTCCGTGTTAGAGGGTACACTTTCTCCAAAGGACACCTATCAAATTTTAATTTGCACTGACTTTTATGTAGAGGTTTATTAAGTGTAATAATGCACAGTCACATATAGCTTAGAATTCTTTAAACATATTAAATTATATATTTAAATACATACTTTATATACTTAAATTATATATTTCATAAGTACTTGTATTTCAAGGTAAAGTGAGAAAAGTGTTTAATCCTTTCACACACACAGCATTTTATATTTAGTCTCATGTTGTCCCTAAAGCCAATGACTACTTCCTCCTCACAGAAGAAACTGCAGCACCCTAATGCGATCTGCGCTGACGACAGCAGAGGGCACTGTCATATGACACGGCCAGTTTTCATTACGTATAAGAATCCTCTCCAATTAGGAAGTGCTAGTTTTCAAAGAGGCTAGGATCTTTGTAAATTATCTTATACATCAAAACTATTTTAAAATCTCTGCATGAATACAGTGATATATTTCAATTGATAAATTAAAACCTGAGTCATAAAGTATAAAAAAGAATAATAGGAAATTCTGCTACTTTGCATGAATTAGTTTACTGAATCTTTCCTCATACTATTTCTATTACTATATGATGCCATTTATATGAAGTTCAAAAAGGAAAAAAAAGAATACATTCGTTATAGAATAGTTAGCTTATAAAACTACAAAGGAAAGTAAAAAAGAAAATATCATAAAATTCCAGGGAAGAGTTTCCCCCAGATGGAAATGAGGGGGCTGTGGCTTAGAAGGGGTGTGTAGGGGGCTTCAGGAGTGCCAGCAACGTTCCATTTCTTGATCTATATCATGGTTACATAGGTTCCTATTTTGTAACAATTCATTAAACTGAACATTTCTGTTTTATACACACAAAACCAAAATATTAGAAGGCCCTATCAAAACCACATCAGTAGTCAAAAGAAATATCTTAAAACACAGAAGATAACTATACAATAAATAGTATATATGTAGAAATATTTACTTCAAAAACAGAGGTTCTAAACCAAGGGTCAATGGACAAGATTTTATGTGAAGTTTCCTAAGACAGGCTTCCTAGCTTTACTACATTCTCAGAAAACTGGAAGAATAATTTGGAAATATCATTGAGATACCTAAATGATAATATAGGTCCAGCTATCTTAGAAGTAATTAAGTTTCAAAACTATTCAAACAACATAGAATTAAACATATCTAATACTAGACGAGTTTCTGGCTAGAGAAATCATTATCTTCATTCATGAAGTTAAAAATTCAGATATGCTTAAACCTCAAAATTTTTTCTGGTAAAAATACAAATAAATAAAAAGGCATTTTATTCTTCTTATGTTTATTTCTTTAAAAGATAACTGCATGTTTAAAGCAAAAACATAATAATAATTTGTGGAGTTATAACATGTAGAAGCAAAATGTATGATAACAATAGCATGAAGGACAGGAGAAGGGAAATAAAAGTATACTGTAATGTTCTTATATTTTATGTGGAATAGTACAATATTATTTGAAGATGGACTGTGATAAGTTTAAAATGCATATTATTAACTCTAAAGCAACTAGTAAAAAGATCTATATATGTAAGTATATGTTTGCTTGTGTGTGTATATATCTCTAATATACTACTAGAAAATATATTTTTCTATATTTTAGAAATAAATAATTTTCACCTATATATGCCAGGCACTGCCATTCAAGAAATTTGCATGTCTTGGTTTTTTTGATTCATTTTTTCTAGTAATATATTGTGATATATATATATATATATATCAACGAGGTGTGGTCAATAGTAACGGTAAAATGGGGGTCATAAAAAATAATCCAGCATGAGGCAGAAACAGAGAGTAAGAAAGAACAAACAACAGATGGGACAAATAGAAAACAATACCAAGATGGTAAATTTAAACTCAATCATATCAATAACAACACTGAATATAAATACTCCAATTAAAAGGCAGGGATTGTCAGACTGGATAAAAATGCAAGACCCAAATATATATTGTGTACTAACTAGAATTGCCTTTGGAAAACACAACACATCTTGAAAAGAGAGGACACAAAAAGATATACCACAATAATGTCAATCATAAGAGAGCTGGGATGGCTATATTTATATCAGACAAAATAGATTCTTGATTGGATCCTGGACCAGAAAAAGGACACAGTATGATAATTTTAAAAATTTGAATGAGGTCTGTAGACTAGTTAAAAGTATTGTATCAATATTAATTTTTGTAATTGTACTGTGATGATATATGATATTAACATTTGGGGAAACTGAGTGGAAGGTATATTGGAATTATCTGTATGATTTTTGCAAGTTTTTCAAAATGAAAAGTTCAGAATGTTTTAAAATTTAAAAATTTGTGCTCTTCAGAAGACATTAATAATAAAAAGGCTGAAAAAATATATTGACAATACTTACATTTGACCAAAACCAACTATATATTTGATTATGCAGAAGGACTTTTATCTAGAATATATAATAATATATACTATGCATAGAAAGGCATACTACTGAGCAACTAAATGAACAAACCACTGATATGTGGAATAAGACAGATTAATTTCAAAAACAAACTGCAGTATATCCACACAATAAAAAACTTTTCAACATTAAAAAGGAATGAAGTAGTGATACATGGTACAACACTGATGAATCCCAGAATAATGACACTGAATGAAAGAAGCTGGACACAAAGGAGTCTATCCTGTATGACTCTATGGATATAAAACTAAACCAGGACACAAATTTAATTTAGAGGGAGAAGGCGGGCAGTGTTTGCCTTGGACTAGGGTGGGAAGTGACTGGGAAAGGGTACACGTAACGTACGAGGGTGATAAAAATCTATATCTTGATTGTGGAGGTGGTTACACGGGTGTAGAATGTAAATTACATCTCAGTAAAACTGATTTTAAAACTGTCAAAACGCAGGTTAGAAGAGATAGGTCTGATTAATATACATCTTTTAGCATCCTTAATTATAGGTCTTCCTTTTTCTTTGTGATGGGTGTTTTTTATATTATCATCACTATTTTCATAACATTTCAGGACAGTGGAGAGATTACAAGAGTTAGCTTATATACTTTGAAAATTTGAACTTGGAAAGTATGAAAATTTGTGATTCAAAGAAACAGAGCTGGAAGAGAACTAAAGAGCTGAATTGCTCACCTGCTTCAACTATATTTCCTCCAGCCCAAAGCACTACATGCCAGAGTGGAATGGCTTTCTCTTTAGTGTCTGAAGGGAGAACCAAAACTTTAAACACTGAAAAGTCTCCTCTTAGTGTATGCTTCAACATTTTTCTTTGCCAGGATCAAGTGTATCATGAATAGAAAAAAAAGGAGTGATTAGCCTTAAGGCTTAAAGTTGAAAAAGATCCCCAGTGAAAGGAGAATTAATGAGTTTAAAAGTATGCCAGCACATCACCATACTGGCTTTTCTGTAAAGTAGTATAAGGTAATCTTAAGAGTCGAATCAATATCATGTGTACATTGATGTGTACTTTAGATTAAGCATTACGCTAAAATCTCTATGTTCATTAACTTATTTAAATCTATCTATAAACACTTAAGGGAGATTATTTCCATTTTATGGATAAAGAAATTGAGACTTAGATGAAATTCTTACTTGCTTCAAGTCAAATAGATACAAGTGGCAAACTGGGAATGAACCTAATCTCTCTGACTCCAGTGCTCGGGCTCTTTACTGCTTTGCCATTTTACCTCCAAGTATGCTATCCACACTGTCTTTCGCATTATCAAGAGGCTCAAGCGTGCAAGCCTGTACAGATCCAGAACGCTGTACTGGTTCTCCTTCCAGCTCAGCCTGTGGGTCCTAGGAATGCTACTCAGAAGGCAGCTTCAAGCACATGTGAATCATCAGATTCTACAAAATGTCCTTCCTATAAAGTGTAGCTATCCAATAGTAAAAAGAACTCTGGGGATTGAAGGGGAATTGGTCCCACATAACTTCCTCTAATTTTATTCCCTAATCAGCCCAAAAACTCCACAAAGTTACTACCTATCAGAGTAGAGTGATGATATGAAACGGATCTCAGAATCTCTTTTTATTGGTAAGAGGACGACTACAGCAGTCTCTCTCCACTCTCTTTTCTTTTTTTTTTTTTGGTTGTTTACTTTTCTTTGTATAATTCTTTTGAATCTTAAAGTTTCATAGATTTCCTCGACTTCCCTCCCCAGGGATTTTGCCAATACAGATCGGCTTTATTCAGAATCATTTTGTTTTGTGAAACTTTTGAAATGCATAGTAATAAAGTAGGGGGAGTTATTATACTAGACTGACATATTACCTACTTTAATGACTGACAACAAGAAAACATTTGCTAATTGATTATCCTACTGAAGAAAATATAAAATATTGATATGCAGGAAAAAAATAAATTTGAGCATATATTGATTATATATGTGGAAGAAGTAATGCCGCTCTCATCCCACCTGAAGTCGCATGCTGTGGTAAGTTCCGCTCCTCCACCCAGCGCCCAGCCTTCAACCAGCGCAACGCTGACTAAAGGAAGTCTGTGTCACGCAGGAAAAAGGAAAAATGAACGTTAAGATTGTTAATTGCAATATTAATTCACAAATGTTATTAAAAAAACTTAAGATGCAGTGGAAACAAAACTATTGAACTATGTGTAGAATAACTAATACACCTCAAAGGACAGTGGAACCTTGAGCCTTTGCATCAAGAGGAGAAAAACAGTAGAATACTGAAGATATAATAATTCACTGAATGCCACGTAAGTTTATCAAAATACCTCCCTGACCCATTATGTATTTTTAAATTATATCCATACTGTAACTTCCTTTCAAATAAATGGAGTTTTTGTATAATTTACAGCTGCTGGAACTTCTCAGCAGCTGGCAATTGGGAATAATTCAATGTGATATTACCTTATCCATTTTTATTGAGATCAGGTTATGGATGGGAAAATTAAGGCTGCATCCAAAGGGAGGAAATGTGGTTCAGAAGATTGAGCTCCAAAACTGGGTGATTATGAAGGTTCCTATCAAAAATCTTTTCATTACTCACTGAAATGATCCACAGACTAATCCTATAGAAAGAATGGTTCTTTGGTAAAAATAAATCTCTTCACCTTTCCTGTTGGCAAAGACCCACTTTGCAGGAGTCTGTGAATGTTAAAAGGTAAATCTAAAATGTTTTGAAACTACAGAATTTTTTTGTAGGTTCTAACCAAAATGCAAAGCTGAAGGTCTAAGGTAATTGAAAATTTCTTAACACACACTGCTTCCAAATAAAAAGAATTATTAAAAGAAAAAAAACTGTTTTAGATTTATCTAAGAAAAAGTCAAATGTAATAGGGAGAGGGTGGTGACAGGAGCTAAAACAATGAAAAAGTATTATAGAATAGCAATGTTATGATTCCATTATTCTTTTTAGACTCTCAGATATGAAGACTAACAAAAGTACAATGATGTCCAATTAAATAGCATGCTAAATAAATATAAATTTCCTTAGTTTTTGTAACTTTTAAACTGTCAACATTCAGAATATGGAAGTAGAAAGCTCCTCAGCCCAAACAAGTCATAGTGTGCAACCCCCAACTGCATAGTGATAGGCCAAGAAGAATTTTCTTCCTTTTCTTAAAACTTCACCAAGGTACACAGTGAACCAATCTTCCTCAGAACGCCGTGAAAACCTCTCCAATCCGGAGTTCTTTCTCTCTCCTCTGGACACACACCTCTTCACTATACATTCTACAAATTTTGAATATTAGGTGATCTTTATGTGTTATCTCTTGATCAGTGCCTTTATTCTACTCCAAAATCAGTATTTAACTTTCCAATGTCTATCCATAAATATAGCTAGTAATATAAACTCTTAGGGAAAAGGGCCATGTCTTAAATTCTTTTTCTATACTTGTGTATACTTCACTAACATATAACTAAATGACTATCCTCGATGGCACAAATAAATTTCATCTTTAGAATAAATATAATTTGAAAATCAGCTATTATTTTTTTAACTGGTACAAAAAACAGAATAAGAGCTATTTTTGGTATTTTAGAAAAGGTATTTAAAAAAGAAAGATACATTACCTCATAAGTCTTGTTAAGGTGTTTTGCATGAACATACATAAGGCCACTCCTGCCTTTAAACAAGAATAAGCATAAACACAAAGATCAATGCAAATGTATTATATAAGAAATTAAAAAAAAAAAACATTTTCAGGATTTAGAAAGTAATAAAACCAAAAATACACCTAACTTTGTTTTTAATGAGGTTTTCATTTAAAACTTTTTGATGCTTTCTGAAACGCAAATGATGCAGTATTTGATTTCGTTGATCTCCTGGGCTCCTTGAGCTCAGCTTTGCATGAGATAGTATTAGCAAAGACTCAGGTGTGAGAGTCAGATCATATACTCATTAACACTGTGGAGTTCTACTCAGGGTAATTTGGGGGGAAGGGCATAAGATACACCCACCTATTATCCCAGACTGTGATCCCCTGAGAATATAAACATATAAAAAACAAATTTCTTACAAGTAGTCTAAACTCATTGCCTCTTCTTTTGTTCTTCACACACTTTCTTCAACCTACTGTAATCTGGTCTTCGACCTTCTCTCAAAAGACTCCCCTCAAAGGTTTCTAATAACCTCCCATTTGTTAAATTAAATGGCTTTTTCTTATCTTCATCTTCCCCTCTCTCTCCATACCATGTGCTACCTTGCTTTGACCAGTTTCTTCATTTTGATATTCACTGTTAGTTTCTGGCAACATTTTCTACTCCTGTCTCTTCCTAGTTCTTTGATTGTTCTTTCCAGTTTTCTTCTTTGTCTCTTCTTATTCTGCTAATCCTCTAAATGCATGTATTCTCAAAAGTCCAATCTATGCTTCTCTTTCCCTTCTTTATCTATAATTTCTTCCTTGGAAGTCTCATCCATTATTACCATTGCTTCAACTATCGTTTTCATGTAGAGTCCCAAAACGTACGAGAAATTTCCACATTCTGCCAACACTTCAAACTCAGCATGGCAAAACCAACTGGTAGTGAAACAGCTGAGTTTGAATCCCAGTGTTATCACTTAATAATAACATGAATTTAAGCAAGTCATAACTGTGAACATCAGTTCCTTTTCCACAAGGAATGAGGAATAAAAAATATCTGTTTTATATGACTTACAAGACGATTGGAAAGATGAAAATGAACCTAGACACTCTGAAAAATTACATAAATGTAAGAGAGTTCTGAATCAGCGGGAAAAGGTCTTCTGGTCAACAAGGCTCAGAAATTGGTATTTCTTCGATTTCACAGTTCTCCCACACTCAATTAGTTACCAAGTATGTTCCCTCAATTCTTCCTTTGAAATTTTTCCAATATAAATTCCTTCTTTTTCTGTTTTCACTACCACTACACTAGTTCAGACTTTGTCACTCATGCTTAGATTATTACAACAGCCTTGCTTCCTAACTGATCTCTCTGTATTTAATTTCTTTTTCCTTTTTAATATATCTTGCATCCTGCTGCCTGACAAACCTAAATAATAAATGATCATTTTATCACCAATAGAATAAAGTCTAAACTCCTTGGGAAGGCCTGATTGTACTTGATCTCAAACTATTTTACCAACTTTATTGACTACCATACCCCTCATCCAAGCATCCTAACTTCATCCACAACAATTTGCCACTCCTCCAACATGTTATACTTATTGTTGTTCCTGTGTTGTTCCTGAAGGATGTCCCACATCCTTCCAACTAGTTGGAATAACCTGTCCTGTCTCCACCTATTTCAAGGAACACCCAGATCAAATAATATTTTTCCATCGGGATTTTCTATATTCCATAGTAACAATCATCTCCTTTGTGTTTCCATGGTGTTTTTATTTTTGTTACTTAACAATAGTACTTATAGATTGTCTTGTAGGCATTGTGTTTGGATTCATTACTAGACACATCATCCATACAAGATAGGGGTTAGAGAACATAATAAGTGGAATGTGTTCCCAGTTCTTAGTCCCCAAAAATCTTATGAGAGATACAGAAATGCAACACGTATCAAGGTATTGCATGGTAGGAATTTTAAGAAATGCTTGAACAAACTGAGAATCATGCCAAATAAGAAATAATTCAGGGCCAGCCCCGTGGCTTAGCGGTTGAGTGCACGCGCTCCGCTGCTGGCGGCCCGGGTTTGGATCCCAGGCGTGCACCGACGCACCGATTCTCTGGCCATGCTGAGGCCGCGTCCCACATACAGCAACTGGAAGGATGTGCAGCTATGACATACAACTATCTACTGGGGCTTTGGGGGGAAAATAAATAAATAAATAAAATCTTAAAAAAAAAAAAACTCATTAAGAAACAATTCATTTCGATTGCGTTGGGGTAGTTGGGAAGGCTTTACAGAGGAGAAGGGGAGGTGGCATTTGCTGGGCCTAGACCATAAGTTTCTTGAGGTTGATAGTATGTCTTCTTTATCCTCAGAAGCTAGTACAATGTTTTGCATATAATATGTACTTGTTGAAGCTAACTGAATCACATGAATTTTAGATGGATAACTATGTTGATTTATAAAACAAATGCAGTCAATGAAAGGTAAAATCCAACATGGTACAAATTTCCTAATTGAAAGCCTTTATATCAAGAAGGTCAGTCTATACTATAAAGTGATGAGAAAATTAATACAAGCAGAAAGAGCTAAAAGGCTCTAAAAGTAGATTGATTTATAGTCTATTAAAAACCTGTCCAATAGGGCTGGCCCCATGGCTTAGCGGTTAAGTGCGTGCGCTCTGCTACTGGCGGCCCGGGTTAGGTTCCCGGGTGCGCACCGACGCAACGCCTCTCCGGCCATGCTGAGGCCGCATCCCACATACAGCAACTAGAAGGACGTGCAACTATGACATACAACTATCTACTGGGGCTTTGGGAGGAAAAAAAAAGGAGGAGGATTGGCAATAGATGTTAGCGCAGAGGTGGTCTTCCTCGGCAAAAAAAAAAAGAGGAGGATTAACACGGATGTTAGCTCAGGGCTGATCTTCCTCAAAAAAAAAAAAAAACCTGTCCAATAGAATCTGTTAAATTATCTCAATAAAGTCACTTTAATAGGCCTATTTTCTATTACTAGATTTAGAGTACTTACAATTCTGATGGAAGTATCTAAAATTGGTAGCAATAAAGGTGAAGCAGGTATTATTAGCCTGTGTACTGTCACAATTTTCATTCAAAAGATAAAAGTCACACTGAAAAACGTTTAAAAGCAGTATGGAATAATGGTCAACAACACAGACCCTAGAGCCAAACTGCCCAGTCTTGAATCTAAGCTCTACCAATGACCGGCCAGTTTGACTTTGGGCAAGATACTTAACCTCTCAGTGCCTCAGTCTCTTCACCTGTAAAATGGTGCAAATAATAGTACCTATCTTACTAGGGGAGTAAGTAATGATTAAATAACTTAGGACAGGTAAAGAACTTAGAACAGGGCCTAATATATAGTAAGAGAACAAAAATGCTCTCTATCTTATTATTAACATCAGTGATAGCACTGGCAATCAGATAACAAATATGTTTTGGCCTTAAATGTACCATCAACTAGAGATTACATTGTGCTAGCCAACATGACCTAAGGAGAAGAAAGATTTAATTTATTAAATTTGTCCTCCAAAGCCATTGAGCCAACAATGGTTATATGCTCAGGTTTCTCACTGGACTGAAGGAAGAAAATAAGCCAAAAGATAAACTCCTACCTGTGATAGAATAAGTTGAGGGAAAGGGACCAACGAAAAGCTAGACCTACTCTGATAGCTGAAACCTGGAAGCTGGGATGTACTGAAAAAGGGTTTTGAGAGCTGCTGCAGACAGTGATATTTTCATCCATCTGGATGATACTCTGAGACCCAACCCTACTCCTCCAGCTCTTCCCAGTATAACAAAGATAAGAAGCACAATATTCAGCCTAAGTGCCAAAAGGAACTATTAACATCATTATTTACTCCAAGCCTCATGTATCCTGAGTGGAAAAATGCCCAGACTGTAAAATATCTTATCGCAGAACATGAGCCAGCCTCTCTGTTTTCCTAAATCCTCATTGTAGGGATTATTAATTTGCTCAAAATACATGTAAGGGTTTAGAGAAAATTAAAATAACTTGTTGATAAATTAATGACTAAAATGGAACTGTACAAGAGTAGCAGCAAAAGCAAAGAAGTGAGACAAGAACTTTGAGGTCACTGGAGAAACTTAAGCAAGAGAAACAGGGGCAATAGATTCGCAGAAAAGTAAGCACAGAGGCCAGAGGGCAAAAACGGATGTTATCCTCAAGCTAGATTAAGAGAACAAAGGTTTCTAAAATGGCAAACTTTTCCTTGAGGCATGAAGCCCATTCAGAGTAAGCAGGGTTTTATTTCCCCATGTCTTGAAGCTTATTCTTAGATTTTGCCTTCTGAAAAAAGACTTCTTGCAGTCTACAGAATACCTGTGGCATCAAATCCAAATCTTATAATTGGGTTAATAATAAGACTTTTTTAAATTTTGTTCTTTTCTCTGTCCCATAACCTTCCAGGGCTAATGTTCGTGTTATGCTAATCCATCTCCCTGCCTCACCTCCCCTCACCTCGACCTTCTCGACCAAGGACTAACTGCCTAAGAGGGACAGCTGGAGCTCTTTTCCTGATCATTAAACAAAGGATACCAAAATGAAACCAACTTCTTAAGGGACCAGCTACATAAAAAAAAAAAAAGTAATATAAACAAATATAAATAAATATAATAAAGATAAATATAATAAAATGTTGGTGATGGTTGTTGATGCTATTATGAGTACATGAGGGTGTCATTGTATTAGCCTCTTACTTTATATTTGGTAATTTTCATTAATAAAATATTTTAAAATTTTAAAAAAATACAGGGGCACAAACATCAACATAGTTATCTTTTTTTAAAAAATCTATTTAATAATCACTTTCAAGTGTCTCATTATAACTAGAAGGGAATGTAATCCAATTACTAAAATCATCATCTATTCTAGTTATCGCATCATCCTCAGAAAAGCAAATTCATCAAGTAAGCAGATGCTAGTGACGCATCTGCAACAACAAGAGAGTAAGCACATTAGATAAAGAAGAGCCTCATTGAGAGAAAGGCTCTTTATAACTTGAAGTCATGTTGAGGGGTTCAGAATATCACAGCTGTGAGGAGCAGATGTTTCACACCTGCAGCTGCAACTCATACACATGTATGAGCCTCAGAAGTCCAGAGGCCATTTTAAATCTCAGTTTTACACATACAGTAGTCCCCCCTTATCCGCAGTTTCGCTTTTTGTGGTTTCAGTTACCTGTGGTAAGCCGCAATTCAAAAATATTAAATGGAAAATTCCAGAAATAAACAATTTGTAAGTTTTAAATCACCCCCTGTTCTGAGTAGCATGATAAAATCTCGAGCTATCCTGCTCCACTCACTCAGGACATGAATCATCCCTTTGGTCAGTGTACCCACGTGGTATATGCTACCTGCCCATTAGTGCCTTAGTAGCCATCTTGGTTATCAGTACATTGTTGCAACATATATAGTGTTATAATTGTTCTATTTTATTATTAGTTATTGTTGTTAATCTCTTACTGTGCCTAACTTATAAATTGAACTTTATCATAAGTATGAATGCTTAGGAAAAATACAGAGTATATACAGGGTCTGGTACCACCCACAGTTTCAGGCATCCACTGGGGATCTTAGAACATATCCTTGGCAAATAAGAAGGGACTACTGTATTTATAGTTATTTCTCAGGCATATAGAAATATAGACTATATGAGAAATGGAAATAGGTTTTGTTAGTCTTAAAATCAACATGTGACAAATATACCCCATACTTTATATATATTACTATGTTTCATAACATTATCCACAAAGAGAATTTTACTCAAATTGCTTATTTTTATGCTATATATTTTTTATACTATGACTAGAGAAATTTCATAAAAGTACAATAAAGGATCCATCTACCCAGGAAAATGCTTTAAATAAAATAAGATATTTTAAGTACCAATCTGGGTTCTAAGCATACACAATGTAAAGCAGAATCATAATTCCAGATCTTCTTGATGAGACTGGCAGAAGTGCATAACTACAAGTGACGGGCATCTGAGGTGCTGTTTAAGCATTGGGGCCACACCATCCTAGTTCTCAGCTGTTGATCAAAAGTCAATCTTACTTTTCTGCAGGCATTCAAGAGAGCAGATTACTTAGAGAATGTCTGTACTAGAAAGAATAAACTTTATTAAGTGACCCCTTATCTGAAGTCTGAATAAAAACTACATATGTATTCCTACATGACTTACATCAGACCCACAATATATATATCAAACAATTAGCATGTCCACTTTTAGCTTTTACATAACAGGAAAAAAAATCCTGCATGATCTAAAAAAACAGAAACAACCTTCTAACAAGAGGAAAACAAAATATCTTTTCACCTTTTTAGGGATGTTTTCCTACCTGACTTATATCAGACCCACAATAATCTATCATCTCATTCTATCTTTACAGTGTCTTTTGTGAACAATGTAAGATGCCTAGCAATGCAATCATTCTAAAGATTAAAAATTATAATCAGATGACTTGCAGGTCACATAGCTAATTATTAGTAGAGCTTGGGCAAGAATCCATTTAGTCAAAAATCTCCGGCTAGTGCTCTAACCATTCAGACTCATTACAAAGTTAAGTCTAGGGGTGCTACAAATTATAGGTCATTTCGTGAATAATAATGTTTATTAATATCAAGATCTTTGAAATAAAAATAATAGCTACCTTTTTCAGACACCATGCTACTAGGCACTTTATATACATTATCTTGAAGTCTCACAATAGCTCTATGAAATATATAATTCTCATTTATAGATTAGAAAAATAAGACTTAGAAAGTTTAACTGATTTGCCCAATCACATAGCCAGAAAGTGTTGAAACCAGCATTCAAACCCAAGTCTACCAAAATTACCAAAAGAGAGCTTTTTCCTCACATATTTATGCAAACAGAGATCATATACTACATAGAGTGGTATGAGAGTTGTGGAAACCATTATTACCTACATACAGCCCACATCTATAATTCAATGGCAACAAACTTACATTTTTTCCTTTTTCTTTTCATTTTTCTCTTTTTTTTGCCTAGGGCATGTGGGCAGAGGGCTGAATTTAAGAAAAACAGGCTCCTGGAGGACTGATAATGGAAGATGATTAGGATTCTTTTTCTATGAGGGTAACCCAAAAGCAAATTTTTAAATTGTTACCATTTGCTGAAGTCTCCTATGTGCCAAAGCTATGCGAGGTAATTAATATATGTACCTGAAGAGGTTCAGAACAAGCGGCCCCAAAATGTGCCGCTTTGAGCTGAAGGCGGTCAAGATGCAGCAGACTCAAGAAAAACTTCTCTCTCTCCATTAACTGCCTAAAAGATTTAGAAGGGGACCTGGTCCAGAAAGAGAGCTATTTCCAGAAATGACTTGTTATCTGAATGACCTGTCTGTACGGCAGGACAAACATCTAATTACCAAACATCTGCCTTCCTACTGTCCTGTGAATTACCCTCCCTCCCCTTTGAAGCCCCAGGTCCCTATCCCACTCCTTAGCTCAGGATGGCAATTAAGCCTCAATTGCCTGGCTTGTCCTTGGGTCTCATATTCTTATGGGGCTCCCATATGTATGTAATTAAATTTGTTTGTCTCCTGTTAATCTGTCTTATGCCAATTTGATTATTTGAGCAGCCAAGGAAACTAGAAGGGAAGAGGGGAAAATTTTTCCTCTCCTACATACCTCATGTAAAATTTCTTATCATGAGATGCTAAAGGGCTTTCACTTAAAAGAATTGAAACTCTTGCTGGCTTGGGGCCGGCCCGGTGGCGCAAGCAGTTAAGTGCGCGCGCTCCGCTGCAGCTGCCCCCAGTTCGCCAGTTCGGGTGCACACCGACGCACTGCTTGGTCAAGCCATGCTGTGGTGGCGTCCCATGTAAAGTGGAGGAAGATGGGCACGCATGTTAGCCCAGGGCCAGTCTTCCTCAGCAAAAAAAGACGAGGATTGGCAGATGTTAGCACAGGGCTGATCTCCTCACAAAAAATAAATAAATAAAACAAAAACAAGAAAACAAATTCTTGCTGGTTTTAATAAGGAACTTTGGTCATTGCTAATCTTCCTGTCCGTCCTTTTTTTCCCCCAGTACTTCACATTATTGCAACCTAATCTTTAAGATGAAAAACAAAAACTCTGATCCTTAAAAAGCTATTAAAGAGTAGCTGTCATCATAATAACCAGATAAGCAAAATATAATAATCTCAGCCACGGATGTCTGATAAACACGTAGAACGTAGTGCATAGTCCATACAATACTTGCCTCTGGAGTTCCTAGTGCTTTCACAGCATTCAGATCAGATCCTGAGGAGAAAGTATTTTTTGCCCCACGGACAATGAGACCTTTCCCTTCTGTCCAATTTTCCAGTTCAATCACTCTTTCCAAAAGTTGTAGCATCATAACACCTGCCAGAGAGGGGAGGAGGATTCACAAACATAAGATACTGGAAAAACAGAAATAATTTAGAAACCATAAGGCATCAGACAGGACTCTTAGGCCACACATTTTACAAATATTTACTTAAGGTCTATCAAACGCCTATTGTGTTGGTCCTGCGGCATATATACAAAAGAAGTATACATGACAGCCCCCGCTTTAACAGTTTACAATTTGTTAGTGATCTCTCTCTCTCTACCTACCTATCTTAATTAAGAAATCACACAAATATACGGTGAGGTAGAAAAATAAGAATATATCATGCATGTCCTAGGGATAGGAAAATTGAAATGAATAATATGGGGTATGGTGGTAAGAAAAAATTATTCCTTAGGGTCAAAATGAAATACAGATCTGACTTCAAAGCAGTACACATTAAGTGTCAGTCAACAAGCTCAACAAGAGTTGTAAAGCCATAACAAGAGTTATTCCTGTATTCCCAGCTCAAATATAGTATTGCCTACCAGAAGACTGTGAGATCTTATGATATATTGGGCATATGGTATACAAAACAAAGGGGAGATTCCTACTCTACTCATATAGAACTAGTGTAACGGGATGTTAGCTCAGGAAAGGAATAGTAAATGTTATCTTGCTCCATGGTTGACAAACTGTGCTCTGATAAGCCCAAGGCAGACTATGGGAGGGCTTCACAGGCTGCCAATAAGATGCCTACCAACCATCAGTTCTATGATTTATAGATTAGACTGTTACCTTGATATCAGTCCAAAATTCTATTGGAGCTTCTTTATAAAGGACAAATTTAAAATGGAAACAGCAGGAACTGTCATTCTTTCAGATATACTTATTTGTGGTAATGGTCCAAGTTCATGAGGTTCATAATTAAATTTACTATTTCCTCTGCTTAAGAAAATCTTTAGAAGCCAATATAAAGATCATAACAGAGTGTTAAAATTGGCAAAGACTCTGTACCACAAGGCTCCAAAACTTACTATATAACCCCCATTAAACTATGCACACTTCTTTGGAATATAAACCTCATGATGTCAAGAACTATTTTTTTTTTTTGCCATTTTCTGAATTAAGCAGTAGTGAAGCAGCTCCACAATAAATGTTAATGTGACTGATTCACAAATGACTAATGCAGCTATCCTTTCTAATTGCTAATTATGACCTAGTTACAACAGCAGCCCTTTCCAAGGATGTCCTAGATGCTTTGGAGATACAGTTATTGCTCTCAAAAAATTTACAGTCTAGTAGTTTTTTACAAAAAAACACCCTACACATTTAGGGTAAGACTAAATCCATATAGGTAAACATGGACCTTCAATCATCCCTAATATTTAAGTTTCTAAAAAAATAATGCTGGCGTTGAGTATGAGGAATTTATACTAGTAGTTAATCTTAAATTCATCCTTTGGACTTTGTAAAATAAACGTTATGAGTTGGCAAGAACTTTAAAGAGTATCTGGTTGGGTGATTTTCAAACAAGGACCTTGGGAGTTGTGTGGTGTGGGCTCACTCATCATCTCCCAACCCAACCCAACCCAACCAAACACGATTACCCAAATCAAAGCAGCCCTGCTGATAGTCGTTTTAAATATTAGGCATCAAATTAACATTTGTTTCCATCTGAATAAAAAGTTTTACTAATATAAATTGTTATTTATAGCTATTCAGTAGTAAGTTAAAACGATTAATCTAGTCTTATTTGCTAGAGAAATCTTACGTTTCTAATTTTATTTTTCCTAAGCTAATATTAAAATTGGCTTTTATTCTCTGAACCAATTGAAGGTATGGAGCTCCACTGTCCAAGAAAGTAGCCACCACCCACATGTAGCTATTGAGCTCCTGAAATGTGGCTAATCCAAATTGAGATGTGCAGTAAGTGTAAAATACACACCAGATTTCAAAGACTTGGTATAAAAAAAAAGAAAAATACCTCATTAGTAATTTTTTATATCAGTTATATGTTGAAATATTTTGAATATATTGAGTCAAATAAAATATATTATGAAAATTAATTTTACCTGTTTCTTTTTACTTTTTAAAAATATAGTTAGTAGAAACTAGAAGGATGTGCAACTACGACATACAACTATCTGCTGGGGCTTTGGGGAAAAAAAGGAGGAGGACTGCCAACAGATGTTAGCTCAGGGCCAGTCTTCCTCAGCAAAAAAAGAAGGATTAGCATGGATGTTAGCTCAGGGCTGATCTTCCTTGGGAAAAAAAAAAAAAAGCTGTTAAAAAAAATATAGCTAGTAGAAAATTTTAAATTACCTATGTGGCTCACATTTGTGTCTTGCATTATATTTCTACTGGTTAACACTAAGAGAGAGAGACATCTCTGAATTCTGCTGAGTAGAAAGAAAAGTCATCTTGGGTTTAAAGACCCACCATTGATAATTTACAAAGTTTACAGTCTATTGACTTACATCTACAGGTATGATTATATATGTACACATGAAAATTTATTGTGATATTTTTGAGCCCAGTATTTCAAATACTACTACAAAATGTAATTTACCCCTCCATGAAGTGCATAACTGGCAAATAGAAATTGCCAAAATCACCTTGAAATACGAGTGCTGGGTAGTCAGCAAAGTGACTCATTTATTTAATGCTCTTGCATAACATCATGGTAACATAATTTGAATTTGAGCTTTGGCAAAAAATTACAAATTACCAAATGCCCTGGACATTCAGGTCTCTTAAATATAAAATTCTCATATGCCAAGATTGCTGCCTAGCCAATAGAAGGTATTTATCAGTATCTGACAGTTACAAAAGGAACAAAAAACAGACAAGTGCAGTGTTTTCATTGATTATTGGAATTGCATGGTTAAAAACTAATGACAGTCATTTTAATTCACAGAGAAAAAAATTTAAGCTAAATAATTTTCTTTTTCATTTCTAGGCTTTTCTCTTTAGTTTTTAAAAATCTTTGAAACCTCTTCCCCCTTGTCTCCCAGTGACATTATCTGAACACAAACAAATGAAGTTATTAAGCAGTTAATAGATTTCAATGAAAAAGATTATCAAGATTAATTTGACATTTTCCTTTTTATCAACATCTGTATTCATGGGTTTGTTAAAAACATTAAACTGTTCACAATCAATAAAAAATGTTCCTGGTTCATGTGATAGTTTTGTTTGTGCGTGTGTGTGTGCGCGCGTGTGTTTTGCAACGAGTACCACAACTTCCATGACTTCTATCACTAAAGATAAAAATCATGTGACAGCAGGTTAGATTTAGGGTCATTCTTTAACTAGCAAAAGAAAGACCTCCACACCTGAGAAGGCATTCATTTTACTCGGATTGTTCAGAGTAAGAATGCCAATGCCACTGTCTTCCTTCTGAAGGTCAACGGATCCACCGGGAAACTGCTGCAGCTGTTTTTTAACCTCTTCCTCATGGAAGCCATGAGACGTGTTATAAAGTGACACTCCTGTTTTCTGCAGCAGTTTTGTTCTTACAGACATAGATGATGTCTTCAAAAGACTTCCTGCCATTTCTGAAAAAGAGAGAGAAGCATGCAATAGTCCAGATGAACAGACACTTTTCTAATATTATATGTTAATCGGCTTTAGTGACAGACCTTCCTATTTAGTCGGGAGTACTTCCCCACTTCTAAAAGCACTCTTTGAGTGCATTTAGTATGGAATTCCTTCCCCTCCCCCCCTCAACCCAAATAATTCACAGAGTATATCATTTCAGTATATCATTGAGAGATGATGACATAGTTACTGCGCATTTACTGGGATCCAACACACTAGGAAGGTTTAGAAAAATGTTGCTGTTCTGGGGGCCGGCCCGGTGGCACAGTAGTTAAGTTCAGCGCACTCCACTTCGGCGGCCTGGAGTTCGCAGGCTCGGATCCCAGGCGCAGATCTGTGAACCACTCATCAAGACATGCTGTGGCAGGCATCTCACATATAAAGTAGAGGAAGATGGGCACAGATGTTAGCTCAGGGCCAATCTTCCTCAGCAAAAAGAGGAAGAGTGGCAACAGAGGTTAGCTCAGGGCTGATCTTCCTCACACACAAAAAAATGTTGCTGTTCTGCATTTAGCACCATCTCCTGCCTCCAGGTAGTCTTTCTCATGACAGTTCTTCCTCCAACTCTTTTAACTTTTCCAAAATCTAAGAATAAATTCAGTGCAAATGTCCCCTTGGAAACAGTCTCTATGCAGAAAGGCTACAAGAACAATCCCACTCCCTAACAGAAATTTTATTCTTAGCATTATCCTTACCTCATGCAATGCTTTCAGAGAAAAAGCTGAAAGGGGTCTGGAGGAAAATGGGGAAAGAAACAGGGATACGTGTGAGAGGTTTCTGTGTTCCCTGGGGTTCTGTCACTCTTCTCTTCTCACTCCTGGGTAATCTCATCTCTGCCAATAGGCTTTTTTGCTCTATGTAAGCATTTTTGTTGACATAAAACATACATTCAGAAAAGTATACAAATCATACATTTCAGCTCAATGAATTTTCACAAGGTGAACACATTCAAGTAAATAGCACTCAGATCAAGAAACAGAACATGAACCTCAGAAGATCCATTGTGTCACCTTTTGGTCATGACTCCAAATAAAGATAACAACTATTCTGACTTCTAAAACCTAAGATTAGTTTGCCTGCTTTTGAACTTTCTATAAATTGAATAATACAGTATTATATTCTTCTGTGTCTGGTTTCAACTATGTTTGTGACATCCATTACTGTTATTACATGTAATTTGAGTCTAAATAGTACGTTCTTCTCATTGTTGTATTTCATTACATGAATATACCACAATTTACCTATTCTTATATAGATAAACATTTGGGTTGTATCCAGTTTTTGGCATTACAAATAGAGTTGCTGTAAACATTTTAGTGTGTGTCTTTTGGGTCAATATCTATGCATTTCTGTTGGCTATATATCTAGAAATGGAATTATTGGGTAGAGGGCAGCAGCCAGCTTATACTGATTGTTGAATACTGAAGAATTTTGAAATTTGGTTTTTTAAACCATTGGTAGCTTGAAATTGACCACAGTGGGACTATCAGCAAACTCTACATCTCCCTCTCTTTCTGTCTCTCTCTCATACACACACACAGCCAATTTCCCAGTACACCAATAGTCATAATAATGGCATCTGTTCACCTGTTTAACTTTAAAAGATACTGTCAAAGAGTTTTTCAAAATGGTGGTACAAATATAAACTGGTACTTCCACAGCTAGTGAATGTTCGTTCCAGTTGCTCCACAACCTTGTTATCACTTGCTAATGTCTTTTTTTTTTTTCTTTCCATTTTAGGCTTCTAGAGAGTGGTGTGTCACCGTGGTTTCACTTTGCATTTCTATGATGTCTAAGGAAGTCAAGCTCCATTTTCATGTACTTATTGGTCATTTGCATATCATCTTTTGTGAAGTGACTGTTCAAGCTTTCTGCCTTTTCCCTATTTTATTTGCCTTTTTATTATTGATTTGTTGGAATTTTTGCTTGCCTATAGCTTTTACTAAAACCCACAAGACACCAAATCCCACATTTCCATCTCCAGTTGGGACCTTAAGCTTGTGTACTCCTAACTCAAACAGAAATGTACTTCCTGACTCCTCCCTTCTAGATGTACCATAGGCTTCTCAAAATCATTGTCTAAACCTGAACTTATACTTCTCCTAAAACCTGCTGCTCCTTCTTTATTCCCTCCGTTCACTAATTTGCGGTATCATCAACCCCATAAGCCACACCAGAAAACCTCCAGGCCAACCCAATCTACTTCCCCTCCCTTATCTCCCATATGCAACCTCCCTCTAAAATCTTTCCCATCCTCTATTCCTTCTACTCTAACATAGATCAAGCCTCATTACGTAACATCTGGACTAACACAATGGTCACCATTTAGTTTCACACTACTCCTTAAAGTCAGATCTATTTTGGTAATCCAATCAGTTTATTTCAAATTGAAGGTTTTTCAACAGTTTTGTACTAACAAAAGGATCCAGTCTCATGCTCGCTTTGATTTGGCCCTTACCTATATCTTGAATCTCCTCTCTCATGTCATCCCTATACACAATCTACATAGGACACCAAACAACCAGAGTTCCACAAATTTACTTCGCTACATTATTACCTTCCCTGATGTCTTTCCTTCCTTGTTGTCCTGGTAAACACCCAATCATCTTTAAAAATGAATTCCTAAGCTTCCTCCTAAAAGTGATCTCCTAAGCAAGGACAATCACTCCCTTTATTTATCCCAACCCAGCGTATTATATTATTCCATTTTAACACATTTCACACATCATTTTAATTTTATTTTTCATTTGTCTTTCTCACTAGACAGGAAGCTTCCTGAGAGCAGTTCTTTGAGGTACATACTCTGTGTCACTAAGGCCTAGTACAGTGCTCAACACATAGAAGGTACTTAATAAATGTTTAATGAAGAAAATGTGGGAAAGTAGAAAAATAAATCATCAGGCAGCCAAATGGAATGCCACAAACGTTTTCTAGCTTTAGAAATATCTCTAATATGTGAATTATAAAATGGTATCAGAAAGAGATGGGGAACAGGGCATCATAAAGAAGGTTACCATACAATCTGCCTCCCTTCCACTTTAAATTGCTTCACCTTCAAGTGACATTTTTGTTAAAGTGTCTCAGCAGAACACTTGAAACTGTATAAGTATCTAAAAATATTACACAGTTAAATACAATCCCCTAAACAGATATACTTTAAGAACTTGGGAACAATATTTCAAAATTTCACCATTAAGGTGACTTGTAAATACAACATTGAGGAGACCAAAATGTTTCTTAAATCTCATTGAGGAGACTAAATAAAATATAATTCATATTAGGTAAATTGTAAGCTAACCTTCTGTAACATATGGTGGAAAGTTTCACAAAAAAGAAAGGTACTGAGTGAAGTGCTTATTGCCTTAGAGAACAATATCCAAGAATAAGACCTTGATGCTATTTTTCCAAGAAAAAACTTGTCCTAACTTGCTATCATAAGTGTTCTGATGGGGCCTGCTCTCAACTGCCATAACTTTATTCTCTCCTTACTATCAAATTCCTTATGGTCTTACTCTGTACTCCATAATTAACTCTGCTTCTTTCCTACTGGAAAAGACACTAATTAGTAAATATCAAGGCTGACAAACCGACATTTCTCCCACATTTTCTGAGCTTAGTTTGGTTATCAGAAAAATACTACCTGTCATGTAGTCACTCATGGATGAAGGGATAACCTTTATAAAGTTTTAATTCTGAAATGTTCCAAAATTATAAAAAAAAAAAGAGAGAAAATAATATAACTGATACCCATCCCTCAATTATAATGAATGTTAACATTTTTCTCATATTTCCTTCAGCTCGTTCTTTTTTAAAAAAATTCTCATTTCTGAAACTTTACAACATTTACTAAAGTTGAGAGAATAGCACAGAGAATTTTCATAACCTAGCTGCAACAATTATCAACATTTTTGCAATCTTGTTTCATCTAATCACCATCTCACATACAACACACGTAACCCACTTCTGCTTCCCCTAAGTATTTTAAAGAAAATTTACAGGATAACTTTTAAGTGTTTGAACACATAAACCTGAGATTCTAGACCAGTGGCAACCTAAGTAAGAAGCCCTCTGAAGCCCTGCCTAAAAGACATTAAGAGCACCTTAATATAACAATTTCTTTGAACCCAGAAGTTACTTATCCCAGAAGTGGAGCTTAGCACTCTGCAACTCGGCCAGTAAGATTTATTCTTAGAATCTCTCATCAATATTCAACTTGGACATACATCAGTCCATACAATAGTTTTCAGAATTATTTCTAACAACTACTGGGGTTATTCCTAATGGGGTTAAGATTCAAGAATCCTATCCAGAAGCATGTTCTTTTAGGTTCTTATCAATTCATCCCTAAAACTTATGGGAAAAGAGGACTAAGAAAGGGGCTCTATTTACTGTAGTTTAAGTTGAAGAAGATCTAGGCAATCTCTCCCCATTCTGGAATAAAAATGACTAGAAATTGAGAAGACAATATACAAGCAAATGGAAAGGATACCAAGCGCTCATATGCATGGGGGTAAGCAGACAAGTGTTTATTTATAACAGAACATGTCCACCCTTCTCTCTCCCTTCCTCCTCTACAAAAAGCCCCCATTGCCTTATTGAGATTATCCATCAGTAAAGAATAATAAAAGCACTGGGGACCCGCTAATGGATTATGATTAACACTGCTCTAGGTCAAAGTGATAAACAGAAGTAAGAAGCAACCAAGGAAAGTAGTCAAATGTAATACAAGTTGCAAAATAAAACATCTAAGCAGTTAAAGTTACCTTTAATTTCTTCACATGGTGCCAATTCCATACTCCTTTTCCAAAACTCGTGGAGTATTCTTACTTGTACACCACTCTCCCATCCCCCCATCAGTCCTAGCTATCAGATTAGAAAATGATAAATTAAGATGAGAGAATCTATGGTTTTAACTGGTTTTAAGGTATCTAAAGCCTCTTGAAGACCTAGAGAGCAA